AGGTGACTTCTGGACCACTTTGCATCATCCTGTGGGAACTGGGACTTGGGGAAACAGAGGAAAATTGCTGATATTCTGGCTACTGTTGTTAGTAATTCATCTCTGAGAGGAGAGTCTTGTGTCTTCTACAAAACTATGGCAGGCTAAAGTTGTTAGCCTGCAAATAGGGTAAAATCTCTGATCCTTCCCAGTTCTTGTACTTTTTAAACCATGCTTCCAAAAAGCCACCAGTATTGTATGTGCACAAACTATTATCTATAAATATTTTAGTTATTTTTCCACACTTACCAGCATTATTATGAGCAACATCTGATAGTAAAGCTGAAGAAAAATAGTACAACTATGTGTTAGAATTTTCGTTATTAAAAATGTTATGTCCTTTCACTTTGAGCAACTGCGAGTCGGTGTCTAACGTGGACACGACGGAACCAACTTGTTAGTAATGAAATCATTCCTACATCAATGTGTTAGAAAAGGATCTTGAAACCAAGCGCGCATCTACTCAACAGATTTTTGTGTCCACAGAGGTCTGATTGGTCCCCCGAACACTTCAATTTACTATAACGTATTTACCAAGTAATTTCAAATTAATTAAAGGTCCTAACATGAATGTTCTAAGGTCGTAACCCAAGTTTTAACATTCCTATTTTTAAAAAAACGTAGCCCCATCTATCCTTAACCTTGCTTCAGAAACCAAAGGATGTAAAAATAGCTTTTATGTCAATTAATCCCTGGGCTTCTATAGTTAAGGGAGGACTTTGCTCTTCACATTCCACCCGCGAGGAGATCCGTGACCGCACACCCCAAGCGTAGGCCTCGCGCTCTCACACACCTGCCCGGTCCACCCCTGAAGGTAGGTGTCTGGACCTAGTTGGGGGTCGTTCCCCTTGAGCCGCACACCAGGTGGGTATGGGAGTAGCAGGCAGGGCTGTGCCCCGAGGGCTCCTCACTGACCCTGTGCCGGCGTCAGCAGCAGCCCCAGCGTCTATGCAGCCGCTGGCGGCGGCTCGGTCCCTCGGCCTGTCCCTGGCGCCCCACTCACACGCCCGGCTTCCGGGTGCTAGCGCAGCCGCCGTTCTCTAGCGCCCCCGCCGACTGCAGCGCGTTCCTCGCTCCTCAGAGGCGGCTGGCGTCACTTCCGGCGGCGTTGCTAAGCGACCGCGTGGCGGAGAAACGCTCCGCTGGTCGGAGTCCACTGCATTGGGCATCGCAGTGGCCTTTCGAGGTCTGGGAGCGCCATGGGCACCTCGTCACAGATGCTGGCGCGGTTTGGACGGCGCCGCTGTGGACGGGCGAAGAAAAATACTGGTGAGCTAAACTGACCCATCTTGGGACAGGGATTGGTTTAGGCCCCCAGGCACAGGGTGAGAGACGAGGGTCCAAGTGAGGGCTTCGGTTGCCTTTTGAAATGGCCGCCACCAAGTTGAAAGCATCCTCACTAAGCATGTTTGGGCTCTGTGGAAGTTAAACCGTTTTGCCCTCAGATGAATGGGTGGAAAAGAAAAAGGGGAAGTGGGGGTGGGTGGGAGAAAGTTTATAGAAATAGGAGTGGAGAAAAGATAGGAAATCAGAGACCACAACGGCTCGTCAGATCCTAAAACCGCGC